TCCCGAGTAGGGGGTGTGCAGGAGGCAGCTGATTGATGGTTCTCTCTCATCGATGTTTCTAACTCTCTATCCCTCTCCCTTCCTCTCTGTAAAAAATCAATAAAATATATATATTTTTAAAAAGACATTCATAATTTAAAATAGATTGAAATATATTGTTCACATTAAAATATATCATTGTGGAGATTTCAAGATGGCTACAGAATAGGTGAAAGCTACCCTCACCACATCCAGGTGCCAAACCAGATTTATAGCAAAATTATAGAGCAATGAACCTAAATGAGTGACTGAAGGACAGCTGAACAGGACCATTACATCCAAGGATTTATTAAAGAAGCTACACAGAGACTGGTAAGAAGGGCAGTGATGTGAAGAGGGCTGGCCCCCGAATCCATGTGTGGTGACTGAGGAGCCAGAGGGATATCTTGGCTATGAAAGTACTGCCTGAGGAGCATAGGGACTCAACCCCATGCCAGGACCCCCCAACCCAGAGCACCAGGGCTAGGAAGAGGAGTCTGCATAGCATCAGGCAGTGAAAACTGGTAGGAACGCAACAGGAAGAGGAGAGAGTCTGCCAGAATACCAGGTGCTGTCCTAACGGGTCACTGCACAGGAGCTTGCTCTCAGGAACTCACCAAGAGCTCACAGAGAGGGAAGGTGGCCCAGGGCATCTGGTAGTCATAGAGATCTGGTGGCATGACCCCAAAGAGAGAAATGGAGGGTCAACTACCTCAGTCACAGTCCTGAATCAATATCTCATATCCCCCTCAGGCACCATCTTCCTATTATTTTTTGTTTGTTTCTTTGTTTTTTGTTTTTAATTTATTGTTGACACTATTACAGGTGTCCCCCTTTTCTCCCCCTCCTTCACCCACTCTACCCAGCCTCTGCTTCCCCTCCCTCTGGCCATCACCACACTGTTGTCTATGTCATGGGCTATGCATATGTGTTCTTTGGCTAATCTCTTTACCTTCTTTCATCCAGTCCTCTCGTATCCCCCTCCCCTCTGACCTCTGTCAGTCTCGTCCATGTATCCATGCCTCTGATTATCTTTTTTTCACCAGAGGCGTAGATACATAGAAAAGACTGACAGCTGTCTGTTAATAAAATATTTTTAAAATAAATAAAACACAAACATAGACATGTATACAATATTTTTAAACTCAATGAGCTTATAATATTTAGTTGGGTAAATAAAACACAGATTTTTATATATATATCATTGCATTATGAAGTTAAGCTTAATATATGTGACATATTTTTGTTGAATTTTTGAAGTGCAATTGGTTCACAAAAATACAGGTTTCAAAAGTACAACTCAACAAAACATCCTCTACACAGTACGTTCTGAACCCATCGCCCAAAGCAAAGGTTCCTCCCCTCCCCTTTTATCCCCCTTTTGCCTACCTCCACCTACCCTACCCCTCTTTCCTTCTGGCTATCACCACATTTTTGTCTGTATCTATGTATTGTATATTTTTTTTTATATTTTTTTGCTTAATCCCTGCACCTTCTTTTACCCAGCCCCCCAAACCTCCTCCCCTCTGACAGCTGCCAATCTGTTCTATGTATCCATGCCTCTGTTTTATTTTAGTCAGTTTATTTTGTTTGCTAGATTTCACATATAAGTGAGATCATATGGTATTTGTCCTTCTCTGCCTGACTTATTTCACTCAGCATAATACTCTCCAAGTCCATCCATGTTGTCACAAAATGTAAAATTTCCCTTTTTCTTTTTACAGAGGAGTATTCCATTGTGTAAATGTACCACAGCTTTTTTATGCACTCATCTACTGAGGGGCACTTGAGCTGTTTCCAGATCTTGGCTATTGTAAATAACACTGCAATGAACATAGAGTTGTATATATTGTTTTGAAGTATTTCACATTTCTTCAGATAAATTCCCAGAAGTAGGATCTCTGGGTCAAAAGGCAGTTTTATTTTTAATTTTTTAAAATATACTTTTATTGATTTCAGAGAGGAAGGGAGAAGGGGAAGAAAGAAATATCAATGATGAGAAAGAATCATTGATCGGCCGCCTTCTGCACAACTCCCCCTGGGGGTCGAGCCTGCAACCCCAGCATGTGCCCTTGACCAGAATCGAACCCAGAGTGCTTCAGTCCGCAGGCCGACACCCTATCCACAGAGCCAAACCAGCTAGGGCTCATTTTTAATTTTTTGAGGAAACTTCATACTGTTCTTCACAGTGGCTTCATCAATCTGCATTCCTACCAACAGTACACGTGGGTTCCCTTTTCTCCACATCCTCACCAGCACTGTTGTTTGTTGATTTATTGATGATAGCCATTCTGACAAGCATCAGGTGATATCTCATTGTGGTTTTAATTTGCATCTTTCTGATGATTAGTAGCATTAAGCATCTTTTCATATATCTATTGACCATCTGTATGTCTTCATTGGACAAGTGTCTATTCAGATCCATTGCCCATTTCTTAATTGGGTTGTTTGTTTTCTTTGTGTTGAGTTGTACAGTTTTTTTATATATATATTTTGGAAATTAATCCCTTATCAGATGTATCATTGGCAAATATGTTCTCCCATTCAGTGGGTTGCCTTTTCATTTTGTTGTTTTCTTTTGTTGTTCAAAAGCTTTTTAGTTTGATATAATGCCATTTCTTTAGTTTTTCCTTTGTTTCCCTTGCACAAAGGGATATAGCGGCAAAAATACCTATGAAATATTTCTTTGTATGCCAGAAAAAATTCTTTTCATTTGACCCTAAATAAAAATGGAATTCATAAAAATCATTATATCATATATCAATGTGTGAAAATATGCTTAAAGAACAAAATATTTTCTAAATATTCATGATTATGTGTCATGGATGAGATCATTGTGATTATTATGTTTCTTTATTATGTGTTTTTAAACAAACAGATACTATTGAAATGTTAAATATAAAATTTAAACTCTAGAACAAATGAAATTTTAATAAATAGTAAGTAATGGATGCATCTTAAAATGAGAAAAACTGAGGGAAAAATAAAAGAATAATCCAAGGGAAAGACCAGTGATTTGACTACATGGAAATCACTAGGCATCAGGATACCCAGCTTCTCAAGAGTTTCCACCAACTACTATCATATAATTTATTGATCCACCCTCCCATTCATCCTCTTATTATTTATTCATTCAACAAATATTTAATGAGGTCCTGAAATGTGCTAAGAACTGTTATTAGATGCTACAGATACAGTAGTGTAAATATCACACAAAAGTATTTTCCTCATCAAATTTTTACTTACTTAAAAGAATGCGAAAATAAACAAAATAAAAGCAAAGCTGGCATATAGCCACCAGCAGCAGCATGTATTATAGAGAAAAATAACAAATGCAAAGGGCCTACATTATCAGTTGTGAGATGTCACAGGGATTCTGATATTAAATAGGATGGTCATTAGATATCTGTGCTTTGGGATCTCAGCATTCTCATCCATTGAATTCAGAATAAGATCCATTTACCTGTCTACATTTAGACTAGAAGTTAGAATGAGATAAATTAGAAAATGGCCTTCTCTGGAAATTTGTTGAACTATTCTGGGATATTGTATAATGGTTAATTTTATGTGTCCATTTGACTAAAATATGGTGCCCACTTCTTTGGTCAAGCACGAGTCTACATGTTGCTGTGAAAATATTTTTAAATATAAATAATATTTAAATCACTAGACTTTAAGTGAAATAGATAACCCTCCATAATGTGAGTACGCTTCATCCAATCAGTTGGAAACCTTGAAAGCAAAGACTGAGGTCCCCAAGGAAGATGGAAACATAGAAATTCAGATTGCAACATAGAAACTCTGCTAGCACTGTGGACTAAGGAATATGGACTAAGATGAGGACACATTTTGATTATTGATTTTCAAAATGTGGAGATCATTATGATTTTAACAAGTGCAGTTTAAATGAGCTGGTATAAGCGAATGAGAAAATGGAGTGGGGTCAAGAAAAAAATTAGGGGATTTGAGACTGCCAGTGGACACTAGGTACTTTCCTCTATGCTGGAGAAGAGAAATGAAGTAGTAGATGTAGGTGAATGTAGATTGGGGGGGGGGGGGGGGCGGTTCAAATTTATTTTTGTTTTGGTATATTTTGACATTGAAGGAAAAAGTGATATGAAAAGATGGGAATGGCCCCGGCAGGCGTTGCTCAGTGATTAGAGTGTCAGCCTGCGCGCTGTGGGGTCATGGATTCAAGTCCCCACCAAGGGCAAGTACCTGGGTTGCAGGTTAGATCCTGCACCCTACTCAGGGCCAGTGTGGGAGGCAACAGATCAATGTGTCTCTCTCACATCACTGTTTCTCCCCCGCCCCCGCCCCCAATCTGATTCTCTCTCTCTCTCTCTCTCTCTCTCTCTCTCTCTCTCTCTCTCTTCTCTCTCTCTCTCTCTCTCTCTCTCTCTCTCTCTCTCTCTCTCTCTCTCTCTCCCACTCCCTCTATCCCTCCTTTCCACTCTTTCTAAAAATCAATGGAAATCCTTGGGTGAGGATTAGCAACAACAAAAAGATGAGAATGATTCCAATAAAGAAAAATATGTTAAAAATAACAAGGACAGAGAAAAAAAAATGGCTGGAGAAATGTCCTAAGCTTGATGAGAGACAAGCGAATTCAAAGCACAGAACACCTTGAAAAGAATAGTTCAGCAATTTTTAGGAAAAACCACTGTTAAAGATTTAACTCATTGAATTCCTTAGTCCACAGTTACAGAGGTACATAAGACTTAGAGAAGTGGCCTGATCTAGTTCTTAATTCTATGGGTGAGAAAGCTAATTGAGGCTCCCAAGACAGATACTTAATGACACATTAGAGGCTTTGGGAGAAAACTGCATCAAAACCTCACTGATACAATTGCACTAGAAACACCAACTTCTGGCTTCATTTGGCAAGTACTATCTCACCTGCCGAGATATACTGGTGCTAAAGATCACATCATGCATGGATACCATAGCTGCACAAAAGAATCAGCTTCCAACAGGGAAAGTTATTTCTGCTTTGTAAACAACAGGTGGACCACCTGATCCCTAATTTGCTTGGTCTTAATGCCATAAATGATGGGATTCAGCATAGGAGGAGCCAGAATGCAAATATCAGCCACCAAGACATGGATATGGGGTGAGATGTGGCGTCCAAACCTCTGAATAAGGGTTGTGAAGATCCCAGGCCCATAGAAGAGGATGATGACACAGACGTGGGAGCCACAAGTATTGAGAGCTTTGTGTCGAGCATCTCGGGATGGGATGTGGAAGACAGCTCGAAGAATCAACACATATGAGACAAAAATTAGCACAACATCTAAGATCACTGTTGACATTAAGACAAAAAAGCCATACCAAATATTTACTCGTATGTCATCACAGGAAACATGGGCCAAAACAATGTGCTTACAAGCAGTGTTTGGGAGGATGTCACTTTTGCAGAAGGTCAGTCTTTTCAGAAGAAATATTATGGGGGACATTATACCATAACTTCTCAGAAAGATTGCCACACCAATTTTCCCAATCAGTGCTTGTGTAAGAATGGTGGTGTATCTCAGTGGGTAGCATATGGCAATGTAGCGGTCAAATGCCATCACCAGCAGGATCCCTGACTCAGAGACGAAGGTGGAATGGGTGAAGAATAGTTGAGCGATGCAACAATCCAGGGAGATCTCCCCAGCATGGAACCAGAAGATGGCCAAGGCCTGAGGTACTGTGCACGTGGAGAGGACAATGTCTGCTCCGGCCAGCATGCAGAGGAAGAGGTACATGGGTTCGTGGAGACTGGGCTTGGTGAGAATAATGAATATAAGCAGGCTGTTCCCAAGCAAGGCACTGACATAGGAAATGAAGAAGGGGATGGAAATCCACATGTGCTTGTTCTCTAAGCCAGGGATGCCCAGCAAGTGGAAGACTGTGTGGCTAACACCAGTGTAATTTGAGGTAGTCATATCTGAATCAGATGACGTGGCACCTCACTTCCTATTCACGGGCAGCAAAGAAAAATAAGATTATACTAAAGATTTTCTTACCAAAACCGGACTGTTCACATCTACTTAATACTATTCCATTCTGAGAGTGCCATGGACTATGATATTAAAGGTGAATAGCCCTAGCTGGTTTGGTTCAGTGGTTAGAGCATCAGCCTGTGGACTGAAGGGTCCCAGGTTTGATTCTGGTCAAGGGCACATGATGGGGTTGTGGGCTCGATCCCCAGTAGGGTGCATGCAGGAGGCAGCAGATCGATGATTCTCACTCATCATTGATGTTTTTATCTCTCTCCCTTTCCCTTCCTTGCTGAAATCAATAAAAAAATATTTTTTAAAAAAGTGAATAAAATATGGCTTCTTTTCTGAATGAGGTCTTAAGCTCCTAAATAAGATAGACATTTATATAACTAATGATTTAGTCAACATATTATATAAAGTCTATATATATAAAAGGCAAATATGCTGTGTCCCCTCAGGAGTTCCATTGCTCTCTATGACGTGCACTGTCCACCAGGGGGTGGCGTGAAACGAAGGAAGGCCCCAGCCGGCAGCCGGCAGGCCCTGATTAGCCTTGACTGCCGGCCAGGCCTAGGGCTCGTACCTCTAGTATTTAATATTGAAACACAGTATTACTTATTGTTCATATATCTAGTAGTCTTAAAAATTACTTCATATTTGAACTTTGCCTTGAAAATAAAGTATGATATCATCAGGTTGAGGAAGTACCAAATAATGAATGGAGTGAAGTTGTTTGGGAGTCTAACAAGAAAAGTTTGACACATAAATGCAAAATATTCAAAGCAGCTTTCAGCTCTGCGAGGTTGTGATAGTGAAAATTTGAAGTAATTGGGGTAAAAAAAGATCACAACAAAGATAGATTGGCTCCTAATATAAATTAGAGTATAGGTGTCATGTTAGGAAAAATGGTCAGCCATAGTTTTGGAAATTGGAAACCATTTTGGATATATTTACCTGGCAGCTACCGGATAGATAGAAAGGATGGAAAAGGAGAGCAAAGACTAAAATAATGAAGTTTGCTCGATTAAGAGAAATTGATGTATTGATGAATTACTGTCACATTGAAGTAAGATCAGGAAAGTATCCTTTTTAAAGTAACATCTCAATTTTAGGGACTAAGAGGAACATGTTACTTGTGACACACCGTTCATTTCTTCTGCCAACACTGTCAATAGGGATTATCATCATCCACTTTTCAAAATAGGAATTTCAGGCTCAAGAATATTGTCACAACTCAAAGAACAGAGCTGGAATCTGAAGCTTTTCTACATTTACTAGGCACACTTTCTCATCTTAGAAATAGGTCAAGTAAAAGAGATCTTTCTAAACTAATGAAATTGAGATGCCCTCCTGACCTAGGGAAGGATGTCCCTCAGTAGGTAGCTCTATGTGACCCCCTTTACCACAGAATGAAAAGCAGGAAAAATACCACAAAGTTTTTATAGTTATGATTGAAATTTCACCAGCTTTTGATATTTGCTTCCTCGATATTGTCTCAAAAAAGGTGGGGGATTGTAAAATTTTGGTAAGGATGTAAAGTACTGTGCATCCAGTACCCAAGCCAGGAGAAGGCTGACACCTTGAGAAATGCCTCTGTTGTCCAGTGTTGTACAGACCAAAAAAAACAGGTGCTAACATGGATAGCAGGCAAGTGGGCCAAACTACAAAAACTGGGGAAGAAGGCAGAAAAAAGAAAAAGTTAAACTGTTTCAGATTCTAGAAGCGCAATGGTTTAGTGGATAGAAGCAAGCACAATTACGTGTGGAAAGAATAATTTCAGCCCTGGTCATGCGGCTCAGTTGCTTGGAGTAGTGTCTATACACCAGTACACCAGTAGGTTGTGGGTTGATTCCTGGTCAGGACACATACCTAGGTTGTGGGTTCCGATCTCCAGTTGGGGCATGTACAGGAGGGAACTAATCAATGTTTCTCCGTGTTTTGTTCTCTCCCTCTCCCTTTCTCTCTCTCTCTCTCTCTCTCTCTCTCTCTCTCTCTCTCTCTCTCTCTCCTGCCAAAATAATGATAATAATAATAAATAAAAATTAAAAAACAGAATAATTCCACTCTCAGGGCAAAGCTCTAGATCCTAAACTCTGCACACCTCTCCAGGTGATTGTTTAACTTGATATCCATTTGCAGGATTTGAGCTTAGTGCAGAACACAGATAGTGAGAAGTTCAGAGATTCCAGGGATGAAGAAGCAGAGGTAAGCTATTTTAGCATCTTTGCATTACACAGTGCCTGGCTTGGACCTAGCACATAGTAAGTAATATAATCATTTGTTCCCTTGTCCTCCAGATTTTATTCTCCTCACCTCTAAATTTAATTTCCAGAGCAGGAATATCTGCTCCTGCTTTTATTTTCATGCTCCCCCTAAGAAACAACTAAAATTGTACTGAAAATAAAATCACTTGAATGGAGCCCAGTAGATGCTTGTGAAAGTGCCTGCTACAGTCAGCAACTACCACCAGGTCACTCTATGGTCACACAACCACCATGAGTATATAAATTGCCCTGAGGAAAACCATCCTCCAGGAGATGGAAGAAATCTGAATAGATATGATAATGCCATTGGGGGTGATGGGCAAGTGTGACTCTATTGACAAAGTAATGTCAGGGAAAGGTGGTGATAAAGCAAATAAGTAACTAAAGAGAAAAGCTAAACAGGACCTCTTACACATATTGATAAATCTGGGATACTTTGGGAGCAGCATAGAGGACTTTTCTTTAAGGTAGAAGAGAATACTGGCTAAGGAGCTTGCCAATGTGGGCTGGTCTTCAGGTGAAGTTTTATGAACTAGAGTGGCTCCTGGTATAACTCAAGGTCACTTTTAAAAACCTTCTCAAATGCTTCTGCAGCCTTGATCCGGGCACCTTCAGTCCCCTAGACAAGATGCATTTCGCTGTCTGATTTGTTCTGTGGAGCTGCCTGCCCCAACTCAGTGCACACTTACAGTCTGCCCACTATGTCAGGAAGGTGCCTGCATGACATCTTTCCACAGGTCGCTCCTATCCCTCTGGTTTCATAGGAGTCTAATCATCAGAGCACCTATTCAGGGATAGTAGCATATTGTCACTGTTTCCCAATTGATTGTAAACTTTCTGAGATTTGAGAATTGTCTTGTTAAAAAATGGATGCTCCCAACACTCTGATGCACAATGTAATTCCTCAATAATGATAACTAGTGGATGGGAGGTATAAACAGCCAGGACAGGAGCCCCCAGTGAGTTCTTTCTAGCGCCTAAAATGCTCCCAGTAATAAGAATCTGGTAACAAAGTGGAACTTTCTGTGGAGGGGTCCAGGCTCCTTGGCACACTGAGAGCTAAATTGTGGGCTCAGGCCCAAAGACTCCCCACCTGCCCCTCCCGGACAGTAGTGTTCATTCTACTTAAACATCTATATTTGTCAGTCTGGTCCAGTGGTGTGCTGATGAAATAGCTCTTGGGTGTGTTGGGGGGGGGGGGGGGGGGCGGGAGGCCCTTTTATTATTTGTTGTTGTTGTTAATCCTCACCTGAGGATATTTTCTCCATTGATTTTCAAAGAGAGTGGAAGGGAGAGGGAGAGACAGAAAGATCAACCCAGGTACATGCCCTTGACTGGAACTGAACTCACAACCCTTCCATCCGTGGGCTGACACTCTAGCCACTGAGCTAAACTGGCTAGAGCAAGGAAAACCCCTTTCTTTAGTGTTTGCCAATTCCTTCGGTTAAAATCCGTCTGTGCCCTGACCGGTTTGGCTCAGTGGGTAGAGCGTCGGCCTGCGGATGCAAGGGTCCCAGGTTCGATTCTGGTCAAGGGCATATACTTGGTTGCGGGCACATACCCAGTGGGGCATGTACAGGAGGCACCTAATCAATGTTTCTCTCTCATCGACATTTCTAACTCTCTATCCCTCTCCCTTCCTCTCTGTAAAAAATCAATAAAATATATTTTAAAAAATCCGTCTGTGCTACTCAGTTTCAAACTACCTACATGATGCCCCTATATGTAGATTTAGCAAGAAATGTACACAATTGACTCTTACAAACACTACTGCAGTCATTATTCTCATTCTACCCAATTAACTCAAGACGAAGGTCCTAATATTTTCAACCATCTACTTTATGCCTCATAACACCTAGTCTCCCTCTTAAAATTTTATTTCAGCCTGGCTGTGGTGGCTCAGTGGTTGAGTGTTGACTATGAACCAGGAGCTCACAATTGGAGTCACAGTTCGATTCCCTGTCAGGACACATGCCCAGGTTGCAGGCTCCATTCCAGTAGGGGACATGCAAGAGGCAGCCGATCAATAATTCTCTCTCATCATTGATGTTTCTATCTTTCTCTCCCTCTCCTTTCATCTCTGAAATCAATGAAAGTGTATTTTTTTTAAAGTTCATTTTACAGCAATAAAATAGTCACTCACCTGATTCATGTGCAGTCCTCGTGGGCTAGGATGGGATGCGTCACAGGAGGACTCTAAGAGATGGGCATCAGAAAGCAGAGATTTTATGCATCTGCCTAAAGACCACAGAGTAAGCTAATGCACAAGGGATCTCAGACTTAATACACATGCGTCAAGTCGTTATGGTTCTGCAATGACACCCCTACACCACCCAGTCCTCCAGGGTCCATCCGTACATAACAAGTGCACAGGTATTGTTTTCAAGAAATTCAATGTTAGCATTGCTATGGGAAATATCTCTGATTTCTTTTTAAGGGAAATTAATAAACATTAATTCCTGTCTTAATCAATACTTATAACCTGAAAATCAATATACAAATTATATTTTATAATTTTACTTTTAAACAGTTTCATACTTAAAGAAAAATTACGTAGTACACAAGTGCCACACTAACATGTTACAGCAGTATGATACATATGTTAAAATTAAATAATGCTGGTGGATTGCTATTAACTAACATCCATACTGTATTCAGACTTCATAATTTTTACCCACT